TGGGGGGGTCATGTGCATGTTTGCCAATGGGGTAGGGGTCTGGGGGGTTATGTGCATACCCGATAATGGGGTATAGACCTGGGGGTCATGTGCGTGCCTGCCAATGGTGTGGGAGTGTTGGGGGGGGTCACACACATGCCCGCCAATAGAGTGGGTATATTGGGATCCTTGTATGCCCATCAATAGAACCACACCCAAAGTTATAACAGCTGATATTTGAATAGGGAGGGCTCTTTCCACACGGGTTTGTGTATTTGGGGAGTGGGCCCTGTGTTCTGAATGATCTCACCATACACTTTCCTTGGGGTCCATCTCTTAGGTGGCCCCTAGACACTGCTCTTCCACAGTAGGTGAGGGCCTACAAGGTTTAGAGGCTGGGGAAGCTCTCCTCAACAAGAGGGGAGGGCTTGGGGGCTAAGGTACCAGGATTTTGACATTGGGAGAATCAGCCCCACCCCAGCAGGAAGAGGGCAAGCTGTCCCTCTCTCTCCACATTGGTAATTAAATCAAACCCACCACCCAGAGCAGGAAAAGGAGGCAAGAGGAAACCTCAAGGGCCCCTGGTCACTGCAGAGAGGAGGGGCTGTCTAGGGCTAGGGGCGGGACAAACACTCAGGATGTGGGTGTTGTACACACCTGAAAGCTGCCTGGGGCCCTCGGGCTCTTAAAGCTCTACCACCCAGTATTTAGAGACAGGGCGTTCCCGTCCCTCAGAGGGACTGGTTTTGTTAGGGCGGGAGAGGGGCGGCGCACACTTGAAGTTCAGTTCTTGGTGTTAGGCTCTGGACATAGCTGTATAAATGTCAGAGAAGAGAAGGATGTGTTTGATGCCCCCAAAACTCTGGAGTTCACAGAGGAACATCCCCTACCCTGCAGCAAATCTATTCCCAGGTTGTTGTTTTTTTTTTTTTTTTTTAAGGGGGGCTTCCTGCCTTTGGTACCGAGTCCCAGATGTCTGGTTTTAAGGCCCACAACAGAAAAATGGGACATCTGGGTGTTAACTACTCCAGCCGACACACAGGTAGAAGGAAGCATTTCCCCTGGGAGGATTCCTCATCCACTTTGATATTTTGTTCTAAGTAGTAGTATGATAATTGGAAAGCTTCCAGTCTTAAAATACAGATATTCTGAGAACGTGTTCAGTATTCATCTACGTATGTGAATAGGTGTGGGAGGGTATCCAGTATAAAACAGCTAAAATAGAAAATCTAAAATCTAATTCGGGTGTGTAGTACTAAAACAAAACCTCTCCATTGAAGAGATTACTATGTAGAGGGAGCCGTCATGCCGGGGGCTGGCAGGTTTATCCTCATTTGTAATGCCGCTTAATGAATTTAACGTTGATTGTGAAAGTCAGAGAAAATTCCTTAGATGTCTCTGAACGACTTAATAGAGAGGCAAGGCATGTGCTGGTTCCAGTGTTCTAACTAACTTGAAAGTTGGGGCTGAAGGTATCTATAGGACCCTTTCCCCCGACCCCCACCTGGTACCCCAAAAGTGTAAGGCAGATTAGTGGGGTTAGCATTTTTAGTAGGTCCCGCCCCCTCTCCTGTTAAGTGGCAGGGGGGAGGCTATGTGGTCCACCTCCCCTTCCATACCCTATCTTTGTGCTTGTGAGGGAAAGACAGACAAAAGAGCAGACAGAAGACAGACTCAAGATACAGGGATTGCTGAAACATGCAGAGAATTTTTATTTATCAGGAATGTTAATACTTATTTTTACTTGTAGAGTAGAGTCATAGGAGGAAAGACGTGCAGGTAAGGTATTAGTAGGGTTGAAGAGTTTAGCACAACACACGATAAAGAGTAGGCTCTCTCAGTAGGGGCTTGCCAACTTTCCCAGATGCCAACTTTTGGTACAGCACATTATCAATATATCGATGCCTTTTTTCTGATTGCTGTTCTACTGCACTGTTGCCAATTAAGGATTTCATTCCATCCTTCTGTTTTCACTTATGCCTAAAGGTTTAGGTAATAGGTAGGGACCCATCCCCCTCCCCCTCCCCCAGAAAACAGAATAGTATTCTTATTAGTTTCCTAAGACCGGGCAATTTCAGCATGCAAATTGGGGTAAACTGGGATAGGACATAGCGAAGAAGATGGAGGACTGCAGCCATCATCTAGTAGGGGTAATATATTCTAAAAGAAACAGATGAACAAACATGTCAGTCGCTCTGTTCCCGACCCCATGTCCTTTGACCCTCCCATGCCCGGTCTCAGAAGCCATTTCTTTTCCATGTCCTAGGCTAGAAGCTGCTCTAATGAATGGACATGAGAAAACAGCCACGCCATCCTGCATGCTGAGTGAGCGAATGGAGCTGGATAGAGGCCTGGCATGCGTGTGCGTGTGTATGCAGGCACGAGATGGTTGTGGGGATGAGGAAGCAAAATAAGAAACAATGGTAATGAGTGGGGTGCCGTCACAAATGCTCTTGCTCATTGGTTAGTGTAAAGTGCCTTGCATTAAAATTTTTAAAATAATTTTTAAGGCCAGGGGCGTCAAGACAGTTGTCAATGGCCTGCCGCATGGAGTACCAAACGGCATTAGGCATATTTTCCCCCCATGATAAACTAGGCAGTAATGCACATTTTTAATTGGGAAAATAAATTATTTTTCCACAGAAGTCTGAAATTTTAAAGCCAGATTGACCACTACGTGGATGGAATTCAGTAGTTTTGAAATGCAAGTAGTTGGCTTAAATGGAGAACTGGGGGAAGTAAAGACCGTATGGAAAGCACTGATTCTCAAAAATCTTAAATTTTCATCAGAGGCTGAATTGGCTAATTTTCCCCCAGCTGCATCTAGTTATCCTTTGGGCCCAAAATATTTCTGTTTTGCACTTTACTTGTTTACACGTCATTTGCAAATGCACACCAAGATGGCTGATGGCCCTGAGATGATTTCTAGTTTGTCCCCTAGTCTGTGTCCTCAGTTCCCCACTACGGTCTTCATGTTTGCTTTGTTTGTTAGAAGAGTTTTCTGTTTTTGGATGTGCCTACCCATCGCTGTTGCTCCTTGCAGCCTGCGGGTCCTCTTCGCCGCCCCTTTTAAAGAGAGATTGAAAGCTCACCTATCTGCAAGGCACCGTAATTCACACACACCCCACACAGCCTCTGCACCTCTAACCAGGCAGGTCAGGGCAGCCTGCCGGTCCTCAGCACCATCCACCCAGTTAATTCTTAGGTCGCTTTTTTCTGGCTAACTGGGAATGTCTACTGAGACTCCATGCCTTCCTTGCTGCATTAGAAGGGCCCTCAGGAGACTCAGGCTGGAGACGGGAGGGACAGATAATTATTTTCCTGCTTTCACTAAATGCACATGCACCAGGGAGCAGAGACACCGGCTTCTCACGTAACTCTTGAGAACAGGGCAGTCAGTCTTCTCCGTGTCCTTTCCAGGCCCACAAAAGCACAAATGGGACATTCCTGTTCCTGATTTCCTGGTGCAGATGACCAGGAAGTAACTTTTCTGTAGTGGTGGGAGTTATGCATGGGACATTGACACTCTGCTATTTTGATCAATTAGCTCAAGCAATGTTAATTATTTTTTTTTCAGACTTCAGGAAATGAGCTCGGAGTTATGAAAATCTACATTTGCCCTCGGTATTTCTGAAGGTCAAATAAATATTATGTTATACTTTTTTTTTAAAATGTAGTGGTGGGCGGGGCACAGACAGTTAAGGAGCCTTTAAAGGCTCAGAAGGCCCGGGGCCGAGGGTCAGGTTACCATATAGGAATTTCTCAAGCTAGAACAGCATTTACTGCAATACCACAGAGCTAGAACCTTCGAGGCTTAGTTGGACCAGGTCAAAATAAGGAATCCAGCCCTCCATGGAGGCCCTGAATATCACTTTCACAGGCTAAATTTAACATCGTGGGGATCCATAAAGAAGGCAAACTGGGAATGTTTCTTCCTCGTTCAGAGAGAAAACAGAAACAAGACACTCTGGTTTAGAACTGTCCACTACATCAACACTTAGGGAGAATTGCTTGCTTGTTTGTTTAAAATAACATTTTAGGGAATTTTGTAAAGTAATAAATCCTCAAGGATGACTTCGAGTCCATCCGACTCAGGTGAAACAATGGCTGCGGCATCTTTAAAAATGCAAGCCTTGTCCAGCTTTCATCAAAATATTTAAATATTTTAAGGAGCATGGCCAGATTATTTTTGCTTAACTAGCCTCATATTGAAGAACCCTTCACACCTGGGGTGGGGAGTTGTCAGATTCTTTTTGTTGACTGACAGGTGCCAATCTCCTTGCTTAGGCTTTCTGAAAGAGGCATATCAGGAATCAAGAATTCCAGAATTGGTTCCTGATAATAGGTGACAATGATGTCATAGGGACATAGTAGTAACTGAGTCAGTCCTAAAAATCAGTGAGCTAGACCCCTCCCTTTCCGAATATTAAATAATCTTTGAATTTTGGGCTGTGATTTAGGGAGCACATCAACCCCAACCCTTCACATGGGTGATGTCATCTTTTTAAAAGCCGGACTTGGTCAATCTAATGAATTCTAGAAGTTTCCACGAAGAACTGCTGTTCACTTTTGTTTCCCCAGCATTTAATGCATGGTAGAGGAGAGAAGCAAGGCCCCCTCCCCAGGGGTAGTTAACACACAACCAAGGGGCAGACTTTCAACTGAATCAGGGCGAAGAAAGGGGACTGTTGACCAGCTAGTTATTGCAAACTAGTGTCTGGGAGGGCTTCTAGCGCTTAACCAGGGAAAGCAGAGCCCTGAGAACAAGGGCGGGGGGGGGGGGGAAGCAGAAAAGGCAAATTTCCTAATTTATAGTTTCCTCAGTTTGCATTCTCCATGGGAGGCAGAATTCCATATTTGCCACGACCCTTTCTCTTTTTAAGAAAAATCTCTGTTCTCATTGCAGTATTGTATCTCCATATCATGTTAAACCAGGAAGGTCATTTCAAAGACAAACACCCCCTAGACTGGCCAGAAGTAGCTAACTCCCTGTCTTTCCATCATTTTCATGCTTTCTTTTTGTTTAGGTAGGAGTATTGATCTTTTTCTTTCTTTCTTTCTTTTTTTTTTTTTTTTAATTAGAGAAATAATTATTTGCCTCTCACATGAATTCTAAAGCAGAGAGGGACTCAGAAGCTTAAAGCTTGTCGGCATGGGTCCCGGAGTCCGAGTTTTCAGTGAAAATGTAACTGAAATGATATTTTCCTGTTGGTACAAAACCCTGTATCAGCCCAACTCCAGTGAAACCCGAAGGATGGTGGTGGGTGGGGACCTCCTGTGCTGGCCAGCTCTGGCAGGACACGGGGTGGCCAAGACCCCGTCGGCCATGTTGGAGCCGCACTGCAGCAGGCGGGCCTGCGGCAGAGGACCTGGCTCAGAGACGCTGTCACCAGGCCAAGTGCTGTTCACTGTCCTCTGCAACCAGGCACCATTTTCCAGCGCGAGGGGCCACCGGTGCTGTTACTGTTACTCCTATTTGTTGCACCAAAGGTTGAGAAGTGGGTGGCGGTGCACCCATCAGCTCTTTCCTGGGCTGTCTAATATGCAAATTAGAAAAAATAATTAGTGGCAATTAGCAGCTGTGCTTCCTAGAGGTTAGTGTACACACTCCTTCCAAAGTCCTGCCATCTCCTACAGGCCAGGTACATGCCACTCCTGCTCAGTGCCCTGCATGGATTTGACACTTACTCTCCGTTAAACCCATTAACATGCAGGATCCTCATCTGCTTCACAATGGTGCTTTTGCCAGACTCTCCAGCACCTAAGAAAGGAAAGTGAGGCTTGGGTTAAGAACCAGGTTTTGACACACTTCACCATGATGATGTGGCCTTGGAAAGCAGCAGGAGCAGGACACAACACTCACAGACACCAACCATGGTCTTCCTTCACGTGACGACGCAGTGAAAAACCAAAGCCACGTCCAACGAAGTGTCTTCCTGAGGTATCTCACCATAGAGCAACAAGCAGGAATTTAAGGGCTCTGCTGTTCTTACAAGGCTTTTTTTTTTTTTTTTTTGGTGAGGTTTTAAAAACCATAAGGTGATGAAGGGATGACATAATCACCATCGAAGGGGTGAAAATTAAGTTAAAACTGTAAACTTAATGTTGAAATGTGGTCAAAGGTATATAGAAAAATGCAGCAGCCACCTAATTTCCTGTTTGTTGGAAGTTCTATGGTTAAAATACCCAGGAATGGCAGACAATGCCTAGACACTGCAGTCCCCCTTGGCGCCCCACTGCAGCAACACCTCCCTCCCAACACCTAGATGCAGCTGCTCGCTAGCATGCTTCAAGTCCACCCCTAAAACCTCAGGGTTACATTGTAAGTCACCTATTCACTCCCTTTCCCTGAAAAAGGAATCTTTCTAAAGATACATTTTTCTCTGGATACAACTACCATGTTGCAGAGGGAAATGGAAGACCATCAATTATCTGTCAGCAGCAGGGGGGGGGGGGGAAGCAAACAAAAACAAAAAAACACATTATCAAACATGGCACTTGAGACCATCAACATGAAACATCAACAGTTGAATTATAGGACCCCCTCCCCACCCTCCCACCCATTGCCATTAAGTTAGAGGGAGGACAGCTATTCTGCAAATCTACTCTCCACTAAACATTTCCTATGCTAATGGCTTTTCCCCCTCCTCCCAGAAAAATCTGAATGTTAAAAAAAAAAAAAAAAACACAACAAAACCTTTCTCTTTTTAATTACATTGTTTTTGCTCCTGAGCCTAGATAGTAATCATTCCCCCCTCCCACCATCCTTTACTTTCCCACAAGGCTATAATCAATACCTATAAGTTAAAACTGGTTTCCACAGAAGCATTGATTTCAAATCTAAAGCCATCCTAATGAGCTAAATTCTTGTAAATTAAATACAAAAGGCAATACTGGAAGGTTTCCACGAAGGGAGCACGCAGCGCTAATCATTAGCCCCAAGACTCTAAGCTCAGAAGTGTGGACATTGGTGACTCCTGTGTTTCATACACAGAACTAGATCTGTGCCTCAGTTTACTTGTTTGTTAGAATAGAAAACTGGGCTGAAAATGACTGTCAGGGTTTTTTGTGGTTCTGTAATTTACTTAATTTACATGCTATATGTTAAAATGGGTTAAAGAAAAGGGGGTTGGGGGCTCTAAGTTTCCTTTGTGTGGAATTATTTCATTTCAAGGAAAAAATGTTGCCTATGGCCAGGGCAACAATTTCTGTGCCAAAGGTCATCAATTAATTGTGGCACAATGCAGCCATGTAGACTAGAGACCCGCAAAGAGGCAGGGTGGGCTCAGAACCACAGTCTCAAATAAGTGGGGACATTCGAAGTCTCTGTAAACACATACAAAAAAAAAGGTGTTAGAAATTTAATGTATCAGTAATCACACGGACTTAAGTCAGCATTTATATTAAGGAAGAAGGCACCCTACAGAAGATTCTAGAAGTTCCCAGGTGTGTACTTTGAAATCAAACTGTATACATTTTAACATTTACAGCTATTATGTTTTTACAAGTTCTAGATTCCACATATATATCTTCTAATTACTGAAACTGCAAACGCACCACCACCAAAGAGATCATTTTCACTTATTACTAATTTTTCTGCTTTTCTGCATACGGCCCAAGAAGAACAAAGACTTGACCCCATCCAAAAAGATCAAACCAAACACCACCACAGAGTAAAACAGCCTTAAACATTTTATTTTTGATCAACTATTTGTTGAAAAGTGACTGTGTTCCTAGCAAATTTACAAATTTATTCAGCTAGCTAAAGTCCTAAGAAGTGGAAAGCTTCCACTCTAATGTTGTGTAATGTCTTCGTGGTCACTTCAGTTTTGCGTGTGGGTCTGTGGGTCTGTAGCCCCCCGAACCCAGCACCCTAAAAGAAAAAAAGGAGAGGCAATCTTTTAGGTTTGGGATTCCCCTCTCCTTTCTTTCCTTTTTTGCCAAGAAGGGAAAGCCGTAGTGAAAAAAAGAGAAGAAAAACCAAACAACCAAATGTCATTTGACAAACAACTAATTAATGTCTTTTCATCAGTTTCCACCCTGAGAGTCTTCTCAGAGCGCTCAGTCCCCTCCCCTCCCACCTTGAAAAGGACAAAAATTTTAAAAACGCCATTTCGAAACCAAGAAGCCATTTACAGACAAATGTCATTTTCCAGTTTTATCTTATTTATGAGTCTTTTAAAGACAGGCTTTTATTTTATTTTATTTTTTACTTGTGTTTTCACTCTCGAAGAGGCCGACTAACAGGAAAATGTGTGCGTGTGCGTGTGTGTGTGTGTGTGTGTGCGCGCGCGCGTGCGTGTGTTAATTGTTTGTTGCACTGGTGGGGGCTCAGCTGAAGCTGCTACCATTTAATGGTCTTCTTTGCTTTTCAAAAAGCCTGCAAGTATAGAAGGGGGGGGGAGGTCAAACTGTAAAATGACGTGTCATTTGGCTTCACTGAGCACTTTTGCGTACAATTTTTTTTTATTTAATTTTTATTTTTTGATCTTATTTTATTTGATCTTCCTTCTCTTCCTTCCACGGCCTGGCCAGGCCCAGGACACGTCTGCTGTGCGCGCAGTCGGTCCTGCCCGAATCGCCCCGAGTCGCGCCCAGAGTCCGCCACGCTCCCTCCTCCCCGGCCCCCCCCCTTCGGCGCCACGACTCGCCTGCGCCCCCTCCCCCCCTCTGCACCACCTTTACCGCCCTGTCCTTTCCGAGGGGCTGATGTCACTCGCCCCCCCCACCCTGGCGGCTACTTCCCTCGCCTGAGCCTCCCTGGTCAAGGCCCCTGAGTCTCCCCCTGTTGCCCTTGTCTCTCTAACTGGACCCCTCCCAACAAATCGCACACCCCAGTGAGGCGGGTCCCCCTCCCGGGGCCCGCCAGCCCGTTTCCTGTCCCTGGCCCTACTCTGTCGCAGTCAGAGGGGCCTGGGAGTCTCCCCTCCCCCCTCCCGACAAGCACCCCGGCCCCTGGCACCATGTAGGCCTCGAACAGAGTAGGAGCTGGAAGGGAAGGGGGGGGGAGATGGACGCTAAGGGGACGAGACTGAGCCAGGGGGACCCACGCCCTGTTTGGAGCCCCCGCCCGGCCGAATTTGCCCCAGGGGTCCCCCTGACGGCCTCGCCCCCCCGCACGCCCAGGGCCCAGCAAGGCCAACGGTCCCGGGAGCGAGCGCCAGGGCGGGGGGCGGGCTCGGCGCGCGCGGCCTTGCGGGGCGCCCCGCAGGGCTCCCGGGCCGGGCCGGCACCCCCCGCCCCGCCCTTACCCAGGAGCAGCAGGCGGTGCGTAGCCCGGTAGACCTGCTTGTCCTTCTGCAGCTGCTTCTCGATCTTTTTGTTGGCCTCGCGCTGCGCCTTCTCCTCGTTGCGCTGGTCCTCGGTCTTACTGTTGCCGAGGCAGCCCATGGCGGCGACGGGGCGCGGCCGGGCTGCGGGGCGGCGGGGACGGGGCGGGCGGCCTCGGGCGGGCCGGGAAAGCGGGGAACAGAGGGAGGGTGGCGGCTCGGACTAAGGCAAGCGCGCGGCTCTCCGCCCCTCGCTCCGGGGCCGAGGCGGAGCAGAGCAGGAGCCGCGGGAGCTGCTGCCGCCGCCGCCGCCGCCGCCGTTCTTATTGCCTCGGCCCGGGCCCGCCGCCCCGACCCAAAAGCGCCACCACGGCGGGCGGGGGAGCGGGGGGAGGCGGAGGCGAAGGCGGCGAGGGGGGTGGAAAGAGGAGGAGGAGGAGGAGGGCCGCGGCTGGGAGGGCGGGCGCGGGCGCAGGGAGGCGGTGCCCGGAGGCCGGGCAGGGGTCCCTGCGCCCACGTCTAGCCCGGGCCCGTGGACACGGCGGGGTCGCCTCCTCGCCCCGCCCGCGGCTTGGGGCCGGGGCCTGGCCGCTGGCGGGGGGAGAGGAGGCGGCCCCGCGGTGGTGACGACCCCTCGCACGATGCCAGCGCTCCACCCCCCCCGGGCCGGGCGGCCCCCGATCCCCCTCCTCCTGCAGCAGGGCGGGCGGGCGCCGCCAAGGGGCCGGGGTGGGCGGAAAGGGAGGGAGCGCGGGCCCGGACTTAGGAAAATTTCGAAAAGGAGAGAGAGGAGAGAGAGAGGAGAGAGAGAGAGACACTGAGAGAGCCAGAGAGCAGGGAGTGTGCAGAAAAGCAAGGAGAGCACGAAGCAAGAGGACGAGAGCAACCGAAAAGGAAAAATGTGTCCACACACAAGCACTAATAAAGATCCCACACTACACGGCAATGGTGGTGGAGGTGGTGGTGGTGGTGGTGGTGGTGGTGGTGGTGGTGGTGGATGTGGATGTGGATGGCGGTGGTGGTGGGGGGGTGGGGGGGCCTGACTAGATGAGCCGCTCGGCGCGCCCCCGGCGCCCCGTGCCCCTGGCCCGGGAGCGCCCACGGCCTCTGCGCTTGCCACGGCCACTCAGGAAGGAGAAGAAGGCGCAGCCCAGGAACACTCGGAAGCAGCAGGTCGCCCCGAACACGAAGCCGCAGCCCCGGCCCTGCTCCGTGCGCCTCTGCAGCAGGAAGTTGAGCACCCACGACGGGCTGCGCACCGAGAACACCAGGAACACCACGAGGGGCATGTGCGCGCTCATCGCTCCGGCCTTGGCGGGCCCGGGCCTCCACACGACGCCTCCGACACGAGGAGGCGCATAGTAGGCGTCGTCTTCATCTCCGGAGTCAGTGTCCCATTCGGCCCAGGCCCTACTCGCGCCCCCGACGGCGGCGCCCCCTCCGCGCCCGGCGGCGCCCTCCGTGGCGGCCCCGTCTGCGGCGCCTGCGGCGGCAGCGGCGCCGGCGGCGACCCCGGGGCCGCGGGCCTCTGCCCGGGCTTCTGGCACATTCTTCTTCTTCTTCTTCAACATCTTCTCCAACTTCTTCCTCTCCTTCTCTCTCTTCTTCTCCTCTTTTTTCCTCTGCTCCAGCCACTTCTTCTCTAGCTTCCTGCGCTCTTTTTCGGTGAGCAACTTTTCGCGCGGCACATCGCGCCCGGCGTTCCCGGGGACCTTGCCGGACTTGGGGAGCTTCCCGGGGTCCCCGTTCCTCTGAGGGGCCAGCGGCTCGGCCAGCGCCGCAGCCGCCACGGCAGCTTCGGCAGCCACTTCGGCGGCAGCCGCGGCCGTCTTCCTCTCGCTCTCGGCCGCTCGGGCTTTGAGCTTCAGGGCCATCTTCAGCATGGTGACCCGGCCACCTCGGGGAGCTTGGCTCGCGCCTGGCCCGGGCGGTCTGCTTGCCCCCCGCGTCGGGCTTCCCGGCTCCTGTGCGCCCCGTGTCGGGGGCTCGTGGTGGTCTCCGCTGTGCTCTTCTGGGGCCACCGAAGTGCGGCTTTCCCGGGCTTCCGAGGGGGGCTGCTGGACAGGCTGCCTAAGAGTTAGCGTCAAAAAGGATGAGCAAACACAAAAAGGGGAGAGCGAGAACAAATGCAAAAGCACCCGACAGCAGCGAGGAACCACAAAGCACCAAGAAATGCCCGACAACTCAAAAAAGGAAAAAAAAAAAAAGGCAAGAAAGAAAGGAGAAAATAACACAGGAGAAAGAAGAGTGCAAAGAGTTTGCTGTTACCCTTAGGCGCTCCTTGGGTTAGGTCTTGGGGACGCCAATGGAGAAGAGAAAAGAGAAAAGAGAGCGAATTGGAGGGAGCCCTGGGGGAGCGGGGCAGGGCAGCGGCGCCAGGCGCCCCTGCCCTGTCCCGGCTCTTGCCCGGTGCTCCTGCCCGCGCCCGGGCACCTCGCACTTGGGCGGGAAACCCCCGCGCTCCCCGACTTACATGTGAGTGAGGCGCACTCACACGCAAGGCAGTGGTGCCTGCCTCTCTGCCCGCCGCCGCGCCCCAAAGCCGGGCCAAGGGTTCGCTCCAGCCGGTGCCGCAGCCCCGCGCCCGAGAGCAGGGAGCTAGCAGGACCAGCCACCTGACGCAGCCCGCTCCGCGGTGCCGACGCGACTGAGCGTCCCCGCCGCGGAGCGGCTTTTTCTAACCCGCCTGATGACGCCCCAGCCTCTTCAGAGGACGGACCCATAAGCAATGGCCCCTATAAAGCGAAGGGGAAGCGCGAAAAATCGGACCACCGGGTACGCGCCCAAATGGGCTGCGCCACGGGCGGGGGGTAAGGGGCCCATACGGCGGTGCCTCTGGTTAGGGTAGGGGGAGCTGGGAGCGATCTGGAGGGGGGTACGGGCGAGCCCAAGCTGGTGGGCACCCGACCCCGCCTCCAGAACCTGCCTCCCAATTTTCCGTGTAGTGGTGTAGCCCTGGGCAGCGTGCAAACTATGCGACGACGGCGCCGGCGCTTACCCATGCTGTGCGCGCCTCCTTACCTCGGCTTCCCAGCTAGCGCACGCGGGCACGGCGGCCCACCCCTCCCACACGGCGGCGCGTGCCCGGGGAGATGGGTGACGGCTAGCTCATTACCCCCGAAACCCCGTAAGGGGGTTCGGATCTCCTCACGAACAATATTATATACATATATACAGATATATACAAGACTGGCATGGCTAGAAGAAGCAGGCGAATCTACAGCCCCGGAGAAGAGCCATGGCCCTCGTGGATAGCAGTTCCTCACACGGAGTCCTCCTAGGTGGGAGAGGCAATGGCCTCGCTCGGGCGCCATGCGGGACTCTAGAATCAAGGGGAGAAAGTACTTTACTGAACACGAACTTTTTGGAGAAATGTTTCAAAACCCACTAGTATCGGGGCCCCCCTCCCTGGCTCCCCGTACTAGGACATGGTAGAGAGCACCCGGCTAAGCGAAAGGGCAGGGACATAAAGTTTTTGAACCGCTTTTCTCGGGCGGGCATGAGTTTCTGCCACCGGGGTCTACTTGGATACAATTCATTCATTCATTCATTCATTCACTCATTCATTCATTCATTCATTCATTCATTCATTCATTCATTCATTCAATTACCGGCCACAACCACCTTGTGCCCAGGTGAGTGGACGGAGCAAAGGGTCAGACTAAGACATGGCGCCCTCCCTGAACGGGACAAGGCAACAGCAGACCCAGAACTGCCGAGTAGAGTAATCACAAACTTTCTTTCAAGGCTGCCTTCCTTTCACTTTTGAACACAGTGCGCAAAACTTGGGATGCCTGGGAGAAGGGAATAGAAACTCTACCTCTGCATGCAAACACACCCCAGGGACCTCGAGGGGGAAAGGGTGAGTGGCCTCAATAAATTATGTGGATGGCTCTGTCTTTGAAAATAGGAGGACGCTGTTGACCACTCAACAGTTTCGGGTCCTCCTTTCTGCAAAGTCTGCCCAACTCAAAGTCAGAAAAGGTGTGCCATAGAAAGCTACAGCACGCTGTTTTTCTTGGTCCCTGTCCGTACATCTCTACCTCCATATACACTATTTTTTTTTTTTTTTCTTTAATGGATTTGGAAGAACTACAGAACGCGATTGAAAGCAACCAAGGATCTGCTGGAATTAAGAACAGGAAGTTCAACTTAACAAGTGGGCCTTCGCTGGCTGCCTCGGGCCTAATCTCTCAAAAGTTACTTCTTATCCACAGCTGACTGTGGCCTCTCTTCAATACAACATACACTTAAAAAAAAAATACGCAAAATTCAAAGCAACTACTGTCCCAGAGTGACTTTTTTCTTCTTCTTCTTCTTTTTTTTTTTTTTTTTTTTTTTTTAATCTAACCAGAAGGGATGAAAAATATTTAACTGCTATCTGGTTGTGACTGAGTGAAACTGAGCTGTCAACTCTCAGCCTGCTCTGTAAGTGGCGACCTGAAGCCAGGGGCTCCCTTCTGCTTCTTCAGTCAACAAAAACACCTTCACTGAATTTGATTCATCTGTCATTTGTGAAATTAAACAGAAGAGAGAGGACCTGGCCAGAAATTTCTGTTCCGCTCCAGTTGTTCAAAAGCCTCTTCCTTCCTGCTTCCAGTATGCTGAGGCACAGATACATTGTATTTAAAAGGTAAGAGGTGACTAGGAGCCAGCACAACCTCCATGCTTACACAGCGACAACACAGTCATTCAGTGAGTATAATCAAGAGTCTCTGGGCCTTCTCCTAGTAGATAAATATCACACCCAATCTTTAAAAAGAGCGAACTGTCTGATGGCACACAGTGGCACATGCTGAAGGCAAGGCACAATTGGGACCATTGTCCTAGAAACATGTAACACAAGGTCAAGGTTTTCTCCAACTCCTAACTTAGCCATTCTTGGGGGGGAAAAACTGTTAAGTTTTGCCTATATCTTGTTATGACTAACCAGGAATCCACAAACAAAGCATTTACTTTGTAAATAAATGGCAGCAGGTGGAATCAAGGGTTTACAGGTAAGCAAAGGACACTAAGGGCTCTCTGAAACACAAGCTGGTTTGTGGTCTGCTCAGCTTTCTGTTTTTACTTGACACAAAGTGAAAGAAGAGATTCTGTTTAATTGGTGAGCTGACACCATCTGTGGTTTCGGCCTAGCATCCACCTCCCCAAGCCCTCAATGCTATGGATATGTTTTGTTTTTCAAAAGTCTTCCAGAGTTGGATCTCACCATGTAGAACTTATGAGTTGCCAATTGATTTTAATAGATTGCCCTGCAATTTTCAGCACTTTAGTTGATGCTTTGAAAGTAAAGCAGATGAATTAACATAATTCCTGGAACACTGTGCACTAGAAGGTGCTTCAGTGTTGTCATTAGGTTCAAGGACACATGGACGTTACAAAAACCTTAACACTCCAGAGTGAGGCCATAAAATACGCTGGCAGAGAGAATACAGGCTCCTCCCTGGCTCGTGCCAAAGACAGAAAGTTGAGATAATAACACATTCCTAACCTAAAACACTGGGTCAGTTGACTGACAGCTGACCACCCGCCTTACAGAATAGGTTTAGCATCATTTCTTTCCAATAGCTCTCTCTCTCTTTTCTTATTTCCTTTCCCCTTCATAATGGCTGGACTTGGGGGTTTGAAGTCTGCAGCCTTGCAAGCTTTGTATTTATAGATGGGAGTTTGTGTTCCTATCTCCCTCTCTGAGTAAGGATGCCTCTCTGCTTTCAGAAGCATTGCTATAGGTTAGAATCTTTGGAATATTATTATTACTTAATGATGTAACTGAGTTGTTGGACCTTTCATTAGTTCTCCTGGGCCTTTCATTAGTTGGGGTCATTGTAAGCTACTTTCCAAGAGCCTAAAGAAAACACAATTATAATATTATTTTAATAGCCCAGGAAACAATAACTAGGCTTCCACTGAAACAGAAACCTTAGCTGTAAGGCTTTAATAATAGTACTTAGTGATGCATTCTGTCTTCAAAGCACATTCTGCACTTTAATTAGCCAGATGACTGGAACTGTTGTTGCAGATAAACGTTACTTGAGGCTCCAGCCATATTGGAGATGAAAGCAGGTATTGTAAAAAGCTCCTCTAGTCCTGGCTAATCTCCATAAGAAGGCTCTAATACTTACGACTGCAGAGTTCTTAAACATCCAATGCCATTACCACCTATGGCATTTTTCCCCTTTTCTTGTCATATCCACTGGTTAGTATTTCAACTACAAAGTAACTCCAAGCTTGCATTCTATATTAAACATGATAGTTAAATGTCATTTCATAAGTTCTAAGTCAACTACTAAAGAATGAACTAACTACATGAGCCTTTGAAATTTCCCTATTCAATATCCATCAGCTAATCCTCAGATAATGTAACCTTAACTCACTCTAGCTCAAACAAAATGAAGAGTTGCACTGGCCAATGTGTTGGGACCCAATTTCTTGAACCTTTGGTTTTGAGATGGCAGTGTATGTTTAAAACCCTGACTCAGAATAAGAGGACAACTGAGACTTTTTGTAGCCTTTGTTGACTTTCTGTGACCCAGATAGGCAAGTGCCACCTGTAAGAGGAACTTCATGGTCTCCACCACAGAAGGCTGATTCCTAAGACCAGCAGTGCCTTCTCACAACCTCTCTATGGTCTGTAAAATAGGGCACCAGAAGGGGATTATGGGAGCTCTCTTCTCTTAACTTAGCTCTAAACAGTGCATTGATTCTCCATGGTAGAACAATTTAGACAGCAAGAGAAAAAAGAAAAAAGATCCCTAAGAAAGATCTCAGCAACATAATCGTGAACCATGGAACTAACAGTGAAGTGCAAGAGGAAGAGAGGGTCAGCCCCATTTATCAGAGGCACACCACCATCAACAGGACACACAGGCACCAGACCAGCAGAGAGCAACGGTTACATGAAAGAATATCAAAGAATTCTCCCAGCTAACAGCAGGAAAGCTAATTTTCCTAAAACAAAGCATCCTTCACTTCCTTCGGGCAGTTGTGGGCTGGAGGGAGAAGAGCTGCAGGAAAACTAAGGTAATGGGAGAAGTTCTAATCTACAATGTTTAATCTGGCCTTGAAGATGGAAACTCACTGGGAGTGGGAAATGGTACAGGAGACTAGTTAGACACAGACTAGTTTCCAGCTGATCTCATACTAGTTGACAAGACTCTTAGGTGAGAAAAACAAAGGCTATAATCCCAGAAACTATAATCCCAAAACTATAATCCCAAACTATAATCCCAGAAACTACAATCCCAGAACTCAGAAAATTGAGGAAAGAGGAACTCTTTGAGTTGGAGGCCAGTCTGGGTGATAGAGAAATATCACGTCTCAACAAAATATACCAAAATACCCTCTCCCAAATTTTTTATACTTTTCTGAGCAAGCAACAGATATTTTGTAGTAGAATGTGACTTTGTGGGCATATGTTTACATCTTTGGTTTTTACTGACCAAAATGTATTTTCAAATAGTGTGATGATTCAACTAGTTTTACTATGGGACAACTATGATTCTGATGTGAGCCAGGGGTCCTTCACTTTCCACAGTTTTCTCT